ATGCAAAAGCATTATATTCCATGCTTTTGGAAAATAATGACTCTGCTGTCAGTGATTAAATTAGCAGCCTTACTCTCAGATCACACATTCATCAAAAGAGTTTCATTATATATTAAATAGTGCAGTGCATATAGCCTCACTTTATTTAATAACTATTCATCTGATGGAAATCTGACAGATCTTCAACTATTAGAACTGAACTATTTCACACAGAAGATTTTGTCCATTTGCTGGCAAAATTTGTTATCAAATACAGTGAGTCAATTTAAATATATACTGTATGTGGCACACAAACATTATTCAACTCAACAATTACTAATATCCCTTTTTCCTTTGCAATATCAAGTTTTTCTATAAAAAGACACACTGTTAAAAATGAGCTGTATAATTGAGTCTCCAGGGGTGGGTTGGGGTGGCTGCCCCACATGACTGGGCCCCTGGGGTCCCCACAGGTCAGTAGGTCTTTCAGAAACCTGTGTCTCTGTGGGTTGGGGGGTGCCCCAGATGGTAGGGTCCCTGGCATTCCCAAATGCCGCGGTCCTGGGAGTCTCCATGGGTCAGCAGTACCCCAGTTGCCAGGGTCCTCGGTCTTTCTGGACACTAGGGCCCTTGCCTCTAGGGTGTGGTGGTGATGCTGGAGGTGATGTCCCATCTGTGCCTGCATTCACTGCTGTGAGGTGAGCCCAGCCTCAACATCACCTCTGCATGGCTGCTGTGGGCACAAGGACATGGTGGGGTTGGGGCAGCCAGTTGATATTGCAGCATTGGCTAGAGCATGTCGAGAAGGAGTAGTAGTCAAGGTGCAGGAAGAACTGGGACAGAAAGGAGAGAGAAGGTCATGGGAGAACACTGGGGAGATGAAGGACAGGGACACACATGGTGCCTTATAGGATTCCTGGGTGCTTTGGTCCTTCACAAAACACCACAACTCTAAAAGCAGTGTTCCAGGATGGGTTGCTGAGTCAGTTGCCCAAAGGTTTCAAGAGCCTGCCAAATATTCACAGCAATGGAACAGAAGAAGAAAGATCAGCATGAGCACAGTTGCAGGAGAGTGTACTAGGGACAGCTTGTTTGTTTTAACAGAAAATTGTCTTTTGCAATGCTTGATGCTAAAGGAGTCATCATTCCAAATTAAAACAGACAAATCAGCCAGGCTCATCTGAAAACAGGCCAGGGCTCACAGCCAACAACCTCCAAAGCAAGGAGCAATCATTGGCACTTGGGGCATCTCAGAGGTGATATGGCACCCACTCACTGAAAAGCAGATCTCAGCAAGGCACTGAGGGTGGGCTTTCCAGACCAAGTGCCCCCAGCTTTAAAGGCTGTACTAGGAAGCTGAGGCCAATCTATTAAAAAGAGCCTACCAGCTGCCAGGGGATATTCCTGCCAGGTGTCACTGCTCATCCACAGGATGAGTTTGTAAATCCAGAGATAGAAAAGGCACAACTGTTGTGACATAAAGTTGCATTTCTCTAGAAAAAACATGCAGAGAAGATAGCCATATAAACCTGAAACCTTAAGTCGTTACAAGAGCTTGGGCCACTCAGAACTACACAACCTGTTTAACAAGCTGTCATTAACACAGCAGGGATAAACCCCACTGTCACTGAAGACTGGAAGCCATTGCTGATTTTAGCAAAACCAGAAAAAAAAAAAAAAAAAAAAGAATACTGCATATCCTATGGAGATTTTGCTATTCACAGAAGAAAAAAAAAAAAAGAGAGAGAAGTAAATGCTTCATTTAATGCATGGGAAGATTAAAAACCCCAAACCCTTAATCTCTCATTTTTAAGAACATGAATGTGAATCTAATTCTCATGAAACACCTATATCAATAACTTCCTCTGTATAAACCTGTTTTTCATGCAGAGATGTGTTCCCAGTTCAGAGCCCAAAGAGAATAGGCAAGGCAGGTACTTGGATAAAAGCTAGACAAAGAAATGTGAATGCATTCTGTGGAGAAAACAGGAAAACTCTTAGCACACCAGTACACCTGTTAAGAATCATGGCTATTTACTCAAGCACTTCAATGCCTTTAAAAATATCTAAAGATGTGCAGGTGTAACTCCTTAAAGAACATTTTTTTTTTATTCTAAGAACACCAACTATAAACAGTTACAAAAGAGCACTATACACTACAAAGTCTAGTGCTACTGTGAAAACTGTAGTAACATATACCTCTGATGGTCTTAGCCAGCTGCACAAACTTCCTCTCAATCCAGTCTGCAGGCCCTTCTTCAAGAGTGCTAACTACCTATGTTGTCCCTCAGGTGGCTGCCTTTTGCCAGCGAAAAATTTAATTCCCAGATATTTTTAGTCCAGATCTACTTCCCACATCAGCACTTGAATCTGGAGATGGTTGGAAAGTGTACATGTACTTTTCTTATTCCACCCAGTAGTTTTAAGATGGTCCTCTTCCAGGAAAAATGTTCTGTCCCTCTGAACAGAATTATAAATAGGGAGAGAGAATTCAGATGTGCTGTTTCATTTTATATGCCTGTGCTCTCAGTTTCAGTAACAGCACATGCTGGGTGTGATTCAAGTCATTTGCCTGGGGTCTGCTCCCAGCACAGAACTGTTATGGAAGTAGCTTTGCATGTTGCTGCTGAGCAGCGGGTCCACTGACTCCTGATTCTTGAGCTGCATTCACTGCCAGCTGGCACTCACGCATCACGTTCAGGCAGTCCTTCTTTGCTGTTTGTCCAAGTTCTTCCTGTCCATTGAGTAGATGAGTCTGGACTTCACATAGCTGAGTTTGGGTCTAACTGGCTACAACAGTCTGAAATGACTGCTGCCTATATGCACAGACTGCACCGTGGCACGTGCCTTCTCATCCACTTCCCCTTTCCATTTAAGATCACAAGACATATCCATGGCAACTGCGGCTATTGCTTACAAGAAAACAGAGACATTAGGAAATGTCTAGAATCTCCTTCTACAGTTTGGCATCAAAACATAGGTTGTAGATCCAATGCCTCTCAGTTCCCTGGGAACCATCGACCATCTCCTTCCACAGTTTTCTCTAGGGACCCCAGGCCACTAGAGCACCATAGTTACCCTAAATACACAGCAGCAATCAAGCACAGCACTTGGCTTGAAGAGAGCCATTTCCCGCTTGAAGGATCATTGCAACATAGAAAAGACATGATGGTAGAAGAAAGACAGCATAGAAAAAAAATTAGTTCATTATACAGGAGCAAGATAGGAAATAGCAAGCAGCTTGCATTTCATATGGGCAGAAAGGTGAGGTCTAGGAGAAAAAAAATGGACGTGTTGGAACAGTCTGTTCCAGCAAAGCTCAAAGCTAAATGTGGCACAGAGACATGCTATTCACCCACAAACTCTAAACCTACTGAGGAAGCATACGCCTGTCAACATTTTGACTGATAATAGAATTAGCTTCACATTACAGCAAACCCAAAAAAGGCTTGAAAAGAGGACCCTGAAATGGAAGAGCAAAATGAAGGTAATGAAAGGGCTTATACTCTGCTGATCCTGGCTGACAGGTACTGAGGACAAAGAGGTGAGAGGGGCTGTATATTGTAAGAGAGTCTGCCACTCCCTGATATTTGTGTACATTTACAAACCCAACAGATCCTTTGGCATGACAGCAGAATGAGATTAGAATGATGCATACCTGACAAGAGAGACTCTTCTTGCTGTTTGACTAGCCATCAAAATACTCACTATGCCTTTTTTTTTTTTTTTTCTTCCCAATTATTGCTCAGACATTCATCAATGATTAGTTTGTAAACGAAGGTCAGGCTTCTTCCTTACTAGGGATACTGCATATAAACAAACGAACAGGAAATTCTAGTTCTGGAAAGAAATGTAAGAAGAGATGTTCTGAGACATCCTACTGGAATATGTGTCTTGTTCTGTAAAGCTGCAGTGATTATATTCAAGACAGAGGTTTTAGATAAGTTATGCCTCTTATTAAACCAGCTGATACAATGGGAAGAAACAGAATTTTTCCAGCCTTCTTGTGTACCTGAGAGACTGTTTTCTTTTTCCCATGACTATGTAATTCTGTCTTTTTATTACATTGTTCTACAAAGCTAACTAGATCATGCTAGTTATAAGAATGCTGCTAAATCATTGCAAATTCCCCATGAAAAGACACCACAAGCATGAAATAAAGAAAAAGTTTTAAACAAATATTTTATCTGTTCGTGCTGATTTTGGATCAAGCCACAAAGGCTCAGCACAGATGCTGTTAAGTACAGCTGAGAAAAAGGAGTCAACAACAAAAGTGTAATCCTTAGGTGCTTGACTTCAGGTAGGAGACCAAAAAAGTACCAATTATATTCCACATAGCTATAAAATGGTGTCTTGTCTTTTTCTTTTTTTTTTTTTTTTTTTTTTTTTTTTTTTTTTTTTTTTTCCCCAGAATTGGAATATTCAGCTTTCGTATCCAAAGAATAAAATCCTCACTCTTGTCAGATCTTAGCCTCACACTAAAGAGTAAACAACACAAATAGCCCTTGACCTGGCGAGCTTCAAATTGCATTCTCCCCACTTTGGGGAGTTAGTTGTTACAGTAAGTCTTGTTATTTTGATCACAGGTAGAAGTTAGGTGTTCAGCAGTTACTGATATTCAGTGGATGTTGCATGTGCGTAACCTCCACGTTATCACTATTGCATAGGCTATCCCAATAGTTATCACTATTTCATACTGAATATGAAATACCGGCTGGGTGTGCTTTTCACTGCTGAAATCTTTCCCCTTCATAGAACATGAAAGTGGTACGTTCTGCTTGGTGATAGCTCTAAAGCCTTTTATTGATGAGGATTAAAAACTGCTGTACAAAGGAGTTAAAACTTTGTAGTGTTATATGCCACCACTGCATGTACAGAGGGAACAACAAAGACGACTGTCAGCGAGGTTTACCAAGTTCTGATGGGGATGCACTCCACTTTAGCCCATGGTTAAGTCAGGTAAACCCCCAATGTTCATTACCAGAAGCCTGCACAGAACCAAAACAACCCTTGTATCATACCTTCCCATCATGGCTTCACATTGCAAGACAGTGAGCAATGCCCTTTTTTGGAGTCCACACAAGAGAGTCTCTGGTGGCTATTTTCAAACTCCATAGTAGCAGCTGAGGACTTGTGCTCATATAGATCCTAGAAACAAAGTTGAACAATCACATTTCAGCACATTTAAAATGTTTGGTTTAACTGTGGTTTCCAGTGAGAACATTCATTGCTATCACAGTAGTGTCCCTGGGTCTAGGATCCCTTTGTGTTTAGTGAGGCATGAGCAGAACTAAAGACCCTTCCTGCTTGAAAGCACTTGCAATTTCAGCATAAGTAAGAGACAGCAGGTGGGTGGAGACAAATAGGCAAGCAGAAAGAAATGTGTGCCTACAGAGACAGGGCAATGCTATGGAGAAAGTGTCAGACCAGCTCCCAGTGAACTAGCTAAGGTGTCCTAAAAGGTGTTCAAAGAAGGGCAGCCACTTGGTGTGATCAGTCCCCTGCTACAGCTTTTAATGCTTGAGCTGCTCTCCTCAGAGCTAGTCTGATGAGTATGATGCTAGTATGAGCTAGTATGATGAGTAATACTGGTCAGCAACAGTGCTTGTCTAATGATTGTCGGGCTAATTTGAGCTACAAGTCTCTCCCCTGCTCTTCCACCACACTTAGCAGCCAAGCTTACAATGAAATGGCAGGCCAGGCCCAGGAGATACCTGTGCCAGGAGCTTTAAAGCTTTTCTAATCTCTGAAAGAACAGAAGTAATAGAGTTTTAGTAATTAAACTGTTGTTCTCTTTCACAGAAAACCTTGCACTATTGATATTAGAGAGACAGAGATGAAGCACTGGACTATAAGTGTGTGTATGTTTGTTTCTCAATCTGTTGTTGGGTAGTGGGTGTAAAGGAGAAAAAGCTGGTTTTCCTGCTTCTTGATTTCAAAATATGCATAGAAAATACATACAGAAGTGGCATACACAGATCTACCTAGAGGATCTCCTTGAACATCACATTTCCAAATGAGCAGATCAAAGATGCACAGGATCAAACTCTCTTGAGGAAAGCAAAGTGAATAGTCTCCAGTTTTCTCTTCTGGTAACAATTCTCTAGGGAAAGACATAAGGGGGTCATTGGCCAGTTGTGTAATTTACACTTACATTCATTACCAGCAGTTGAATGTGTTCAGCTGGTCACAGACTCAAGTTATCCATCATCAGCTTGGCCCAGCTGGTAACTCCCCAAGCTGCACACTGCACAGCACAGGTAGCTCTGCCACTCCAGTGCCTGCTTGCCAACAGGGTTCCCTTGCCCAGCTGAACTGAAATCTATGCAGAGCTGAGTTGTCCTGCTCTCACACCAGCACCCCAGCACACCACACAGCTCTGTCCCTGCCGCATGCAACCCCTCAGCCAAATGCCAGTTTCCTTTTACTTGGGAGCATGCAAATGTTTATTGGGTGGAGAACCAGTTCATGTGCGAATTCCATATAAGGTGTCTCCTCTCAGGCTGACAAAAAGAAAACAAGAATGTCTCCTAAAGTGAATTTTGAGAGTATTTACATCATTGAACAGGGCTTTCTATCAAGGCTTCCGCTACACAACTCCAGAGTGATGCATTGCCATATCACACCTCAGCTTTATCTCCAACCATGGGACTCTTTCTTACGAAGCCAATAATAACCAGGCAATAGCTGGCACAGCACAGCGACTGTGACATACACAGGAAGCAAGTATTTCTGCTAAACTTTGAGGGAAATGCAGAGCATAAACCCTTGGTATTAACCTTCAGATGGTGATTAAAGACACTGTCATGTAATTTTCCTTATAATTCTCTTCATGGAAATGAGAAACAGCAGGTAAGGGAGGCTCAGACATGGCTGCTTTTCCAAGAGCTATATCACTTTTGGAAGATGAAGAACAAAAACTTTCTTTAAGAAAAATGTATTACAGTCCAAGTCAGAAAAGCATCTGGGATCATCCTGTCTCTAAAATTAGACGTCTAGTGTTTATTAGATTGGCATGAAAGGTTGTTTGAAAACAGTTGATGGAAGAGCCAAGGACCAGGATGAGGAGGCCAAACACAAAGCAGGATGCACAAGGCTTCCTAGCAGCAGACTGCAAGAGCGTGAAGAGAGGAGGGAAGGAAAATACGGTGTGCTTGAAAGGTAGTAGAGGTACTGAGAGTTTTTCCACATCACCATATTGACACAGGCTGTTTGTAATGAGCAGTTCCCAGCTACAGTGCTGCTACAGCTAAGCCATCATTTCTGGCCCTGTTTTTCATTACCAAGGAAAGAGGCAGGACTCAGAAGAGCCAAGAGAGACTCAACTATACTAATCCCAAATGGAAAAATGAGCAACATTCTCTTTCCCATCTCCTCCCATTCTTTGGTATCTCTTTCTGTCTCTCTGAAAACATATACATTTAATGAAGGTGGGCATTTTCTCATTTTTGCAGGGGACATTAAGAAATTGGAATCGGTTTTTAATAACGTATCACCACTGAAGTGCAGCAGGGCATTTCCAGTGGATCTTTCTGTTCCAAAGCTAGCTGCAGCTGTCAGGGAAGAGTGCCTTTTGCAGTGATGAGGCTCTAAAGAGACAAGGGCCTTGATTTTCAGACCAGAAATGGGAGGCAAAGAACAAGAAATGTCAATGGTCCTCCAGGGTTTATAGACCTTCTGCTCCTATTGAGCACTGAGAGATGATTTTGCCCTTTACACATCTTGCTCTAACTTCTTCAGAGCCTAATGTAAATTTGTTGAGGGGTCTCTGTTTAACTTGGAATTCCTTCAAGTTAGTTTGGCTTTTTACCAACTACATTTGTCCATCAGATCTCCTCTGTGGGTGTGCCCTAGCACTGTGAAAGCACTATATGGCTGCTTTATAGCTTGTTTTTATTAGGCTTAAGGAAGAGAGGGGATCTGAGCAATGAAAATGTAGCTCTGATACACCAAGTTCTAAGATAACAAGAAAGTAGAGTGTACGTGAATAAGCAATAACATGTGAACAATAGTATGACAAGGCTATAGATTTCCTCTTTTGTTTTCCAGACATAACAGAAGAACTCTTTAAATGCCTGTTAAAACCAAACATGTTTTCTTAGAAAGGAGCTACAGCCCATCTAATATACATCAGGAGTGGGGGGGAAAGCGAGCAGTGTGAACCCCTATGGGAAAGCTCTATACAAGTCTGTGCAGACACACAAATTGCCTGTACAAAGTCTGCAAGCATGGTGGAAAACCACTGCAGAACTGCAAAGACCACACAGTTGTGTATGGCAGAATGTGCATGGCTCCATTTTAAGCCAAACAGAGACAATGTTCATTGTTTTAGCTAGTTTCTTAGCACTTAGGAAATCATATGCCACACTGTTCTTCCCTTTATGGTTGGCATTTAGGAGGCTTGTGGTCATTGGACTGCTATCTGTTAGGAAACTTTAAAGGAGGTTCTTTTCTTAAAAAATTTTATCTTTTCCAGAAATAACTTCAATTATTTAGAATGTTGCTGTAAAAGTGTATATATCTGCTTGATAAAAAAATTTGCAAAGTTGACTAAACCCTGGGAAGCTGACAAGCCCATGGAAGCCTTTACACTGGTTTCAGTGGAAAGGGGCTCTGATCCTACAGACACTGCCAGATTTCACACAAGACAGCTAAGACTGGGTTGAAAAAACTTTTCAATTAAAATAATTAACTGTTTGTAACATACAGATGAAAATTGTTTATACCCTTAATCTGCCATCACCCCTTTAAACTCTTAAATCACAGCTGAAACTACTGTCTTCTTCCCCATAACCCTTCTACATGTCATTCAGGTCCTTTGACTCTGCTCTGTTTATTTAAGCCTACTTTGGTGTGTCTATTCCCATGATACTGTTTTCACTGAGTGAGCCCAGCATAGTGAGAATTTTGATCTCCTCCTGACAGTTACATAACTCCTCCCCCTCTAATGAGAATTTGGGACACAGGCACACACTGCTGCAGATCCGCCTTATGAAGCAGCAGCTTAATTCCCTATAGAAAGGTGAAAAAAACCCCAACTGTTTCATTGAAGATAAAACATGCAGATAGTTCTATTCTTCTGAGAATACTTGGCTGTCATACTTAGAGCCCCCTTATTTCACAACATATATTTAAAATAGACTGTTTGGAGGGGAGCAAGTTTCCTTCCTACCCACTCCCTTTCACCACCTCTGCTGATTTTGTGGTTAGACTTTCCTCAGGAAATTTTACCTAGAGAATTTGCATACAGCTTTGAGATAGAGATAAGAAAAGCTGTCACCTCTGAAGAACCAGCCTCATACTCAAATTCCAGTGGCCTCAAAACTCAAACTCCTCAGCTCTGCACCAAGTGGGGAGGCAGGTGCAGCATGCCCTTTGTAAATCTGGAGTGATGCCTTGAATATGTTCTGGGGTGAAGAGCAGTCTCAAGAGCATATTTCAGCTCGCAGAGCCTTAGAGCCTGCCTGCTTTCTGCCCCCACCAACAACTAGTAGCCCAGCACTACTGTGGCCACAAGGGCACACTCCATTTAGCAAGAGCTGAGCTGAGGATACTTGCTAGCAGATGGGGCTGCCCAGGCCACATCTCTGCCCAGCTACAGACAAAAGCAAATACACTCAGGCCTCCAGAGGGGTCTACACCTCAGAACAAAACCTCCCTCTGCTCTAGAAAGGCAGTGAGCAAGCCTGCCTGAGAGGGCAGGCTTAGATATTGTGGTGACACAACCAACAGCATGGCAATGCCTAATAACAGACAGGAAGATTCTACGGATCATTGTAATTAAAGCAGGTTTATTTCTAGGTACCTCACTGCAATATTCCACTAGTAACTGTGGTAACCCTAAGACCTCAGTTTTTGGCGCTAGGTCACACCTCAAGGTCACCAACACCTTGCCTCGTGGCCTTTTCCTGGGAAACAAGCACTGAGCAGATTTCCCAAAACAGCACTAAAGTCTGTACTCGTGTGATGAACATCCAGTTTCTGGGTGCACAGAGTGCCTAGGAAAACCTTGTTTCTAACTCAGTGGTCTCAAAAGAAGGAAAATTTTAAGTAATTACATCTAAAAGATGTATTTGATCCAACTTCTTGTTCAATATTATTGTTGCAGAAGACATATTATTGTTACAATCAGCATCTGAATACACTGTTTCTTGGGGCATAAAGCGTTGGGTACACAGGGTGCATTTAACATCAGTGCTGAGCCTTGCACACGCCATCACACAAACCCTTCTACTCACCAGATAATCCCTTTGAACTTTGTGGGACCCTTCATGAAACAGAACCACCACAGCCTTTGTGCACAAAGGCAGCACAGCTCGGGTTACTGCTTGAGGTATGGCCCAATCTTTATTAAAGATAGTTCAGTGAGGCTCCTATTGGAGTTACTGTAAAGCAAGCTTTTACCATATAGCTTGAATACAACAGCCCATGAGATCTGGCAGCAAGTTCAGAGGAAGTAGAGCATCCAAGTTCTTTTCCAGTTTGTCTGCAAAACGTGATACATTAAATGTTTTGCTTGTGATGATCTGCTGTATTTGGCAGGCAAGACAAAAGGATTCTGTCATTGTCCAGTAAAGCTTTCAAGCAGGAATTGCCAGCAAATCAGTGCAAGAAGAAACAAGCAAACAAACAGACAAGAAAACCCCCAGGTTTCTCCAACCCTAAAGCAAGGTAGGGTTTATGCTCAAAACACAATTTTTTTTTTTTCCAAAGAATATCTTGGCAAGAAGAAGTGGAAATTTAAAAGCACCTTTGGCTTCAATCAGATGATTTCCATCGAGGCCACCGTCTTCTTCCTTTGTATACTTGACTACTGATGATGTATTAATATGGGCCATATTCATTTTGTTGGTTCTCTGAACTGTCTCTGGAAGAAGCAGACACTGTACGTACCCATCCAGCCAGGGCAGCGGTACCACAGACAGCTGTGCTGGGCCATACCCATAAGCCCCTCAAGGTGGGGGCAATGAAGACACCACAGGCACACATAACTGGTTAACCTGCAAAGGCAAGGTCACTGCGAGTTTCCCAACACAAGCCTTCAATAAGCTGGCGCTCATGCTGCCCCGGACGCTCGCCTAGAGCTCATGGTGAGCCAGGCGAGCAGGCAGCCCCTCTGGCTCAGTGGCATGAAAAAGAAGTGAAAAATGAAGTGTCTGCTTCAGATACAGATGCACACAGACTTTTATGTGTTTAGAATAGTTTTCCCCTTAGGACTGGGGCTGTGTTGGAGCTGCTGGCCACCTGTGTCCCTTGCTGCTGCCCTGAAGCTTTTTTCAGAATACTCTGGGAGAAGAAGCGCAAATATATTTCTGGAAACTACGTAGGGATCAGTACAGCTGGAACATCCTTCACCCAGCCAGCAGAACCATTGGCTTCAGCCACTGCAGTTTTATTTCAGCTGCAGCAGCACTGTTCAGCAGAGCCGTAACAGTATTAAGCCTGTCCCTCCCTACCCTGGTAGCAGCCAGCACACCGGGTGCCAGACAGGCTGCTTGAGTCAATGGCTGCTCCCGCTGGATAACAGGTTGGCTGTGCTGGGTGGGATGTGCGCACATACAGCTGTTGCAATCATAAACAGACGCAAGGCTACAGTTCTGGGGGAAACATATCCGCATCTGTGTTATCTCAAAGCTGTTGTCTGTTTAATCTATTTTCTCAAGTCAGCATGGGGAGAAAGTTAACTTATAACTTACTTCATAGTTATAATCCCAGTGGCTCAGAAGTGCTGCTGGGACTGTTTTGAGGCCTAAATCACTCAATCAGCCACAGCACATGCAGCAATCTTCAAAAGCAGCAAAAACCTGAAATCAGAGGTAGTGACAGTGGGCACATGGCTGAATAACCCTGGCCCACAATCCAATGTATTGGAGAGTAATATGATGACAGAAGATGTTTTTATATGAACTAGTTTTATACTTTCCACATCCTGCATTTTGATTTTTATAGCTATCCTTCAGTAGGAGCAAAAAATCTCCAGACAAGATCAGTATCCCGTGGTGGCAGGACCTCAAACATACAGTATTGTCACTGCCAGGAAAAGCTTGTGACAAGAACAGCCCAGCCTCGCTAAGAAACTATCAGTCATACTTTAAGGAGGTGTACAAGGATTAGGCACTTGCCCAAAACAACTTGGGATGTCTCAAACTCAGCTTTAGGCATCAGAGGGCCAAGTCAGCACTTTCTCTACAGGCAATTCTTCCTCTCTTGAGTGACAGAGGCAGATTTTACAAAGTTGCTGTGAAATTTTCTTTGGATTCTGCCTGATTGGTAAAATTGCCCTGCTAGTGGCTGCTCGGCAGGAAACCAAACACTGTGAGTGGGCTGTTCTCCATCCCCTCAGATCTTTTTAACATTTTAGTAGTGGTGTCAGTAGGGAGCAGAAAATCTTAGAAGTGTTGAAAATAAAAGCCCACAACTCCTTTATTGCAATGCACAACTCTGAGACATCAGCAGAGTTTGTCCTCAGCTCAGGGTTTTCCCATTAAAATAAGCCCACTGAAACCAGCTGTGATCAGAAGGTCTTTCTCCTGCATCTGATTTCCCTGCCAAAGCATCTCTTCCATCTGAGTCTCTGCAGGGAAGACAGTCAGCTCTCTGTAATTCTACCTCTAGCCAAATCCCCTGTGCCCTACTGAAGGTGACAAAGATAATATTTTCTGTAACATCCAACAAATAACTGGTACTGCACATTAGAAGTATCACTTAGTTCATAATCTCTCTCTTTTACTCCAGTTTAGGTGTGACCAGGACAGGTTTTATCCTGCAGTGCATGAGAAACTCTGTTCAAATACACTCCCTTGTCTGAACTTTTCGAAGTTCTCTGCTGTTCTGTTCATTTTTGCCATAAAAAGACATAATATTTCCTCTAAATGTCTGCAAATGTGAGAGGAAAATACACGCTCTTCAAGCACCTCTGTCTGCATCTGATCAAATGTAGTCTCAGAGTTCAGAGTGGTTGTGTTGCTATTTCTACTGCACTTCAAAAGAACAAAGCTTCTCTTCTGTCAGAAATTCTTCTTAGAAAAGTGTAAAGCAAAATTAATATTTTGCATACTGCATTCCCAGCAGCCAATCTTCTGAACAGTAAAAAGTCTAAGTTTTCTGAATAGTCCGACTGCTCAAATGACTTCTATTAATAATTTGTCAGAAGAATTTAGGACAAGCTTCTCGAAGGCATATTGATCATTTTGAGTCAACATTTAAGATAATAGCTCTGAAACAGCATGCACAAAGCGGCCAAGTAAAAGTAATCTTTTCAGATAATTGTATTCATGAGGTCAGCAGAGGACACTAACTCTCAGCACTTCGCTCAGTTTCCATATGATCTCTTCCCCCTGGGGTGTGAGATTAGATCTGGAGGAAAAACAGTTACCTCTCATCTCCCAACCAGTCATCAGCACTGAATCTCACAGTACTGCTGCTGAGTCAACTACAAATTGCAGCAACCTGTAGTCATGGCCAGGGCCCAGAGGGAGGGAAATGAAAGGGCCAACCATGGTGAAGTCTCTTACCCCTTCTTTGTTCATCTGCCTCTCTCCTGCACATCCCACCCAGGCGAGCAAGAGTTCATAGCACCGCAGTGTTCACGGGCACTGACACTCTCACATTCTGGCCATTGTACCCAAGGAAGACCAGAGTCCCTGGCAGGTTGAAAGTAGAAGGTGGATTTAGGGGCACAGAGCTGGGAAGGGCAGGCAGGATCATCCAGTCAAGTCACACCATGGGGCTACTTGGAGATTCAGTGTCGTCCATTCCTGTGCACAGATCAATGCAGATCTTACTGAGAGCCTCAAGTACAATATAATAGCTAAGCTGCCCGTCCCAGGTCAGGGTACGCAACTGGTCAGTCTGGAGGACAGCCTGCTTATGTGGCGGGGAGCAGGGCAGGCTGGCACATTTGGGATGATGCAGCTGGCTCAGCCAGCCAAGCTACAGAGGGGCAGAAGCACCTTTCACAAAGGGAGAGAAAAGCAGAGGTAGAGATAAGGCTCTGTTATCTCTATAGCAACTGCCAGGGAGCTACACTATGCTCACTGGAGAACTGAAGAAAGACAGAAGGGGGAATAAATCCAGAAAGCCTGGCCAAGAAAATGCCTAGCAGGGAAAAACAGAGGTGGGAGAGAAGCGTGGCCCACCACTGCTGAAGGGGAAAAGCAAAGGGCTCACGGTTGGTGTCCAAGGAGGAGACTCTTGAGCTCACAGCATGGGAGCAGCTTCGCCAGCCTCCCCATCCACATCCCGAGGCACACAATCTGCTGCAGCCAGGCACTGCTCTCCAGCAGTCCAGCAAAAGTTTGCTGTCATTTTCTAGGAAACAGCAAAAAATTTGTGAGAATCGGATAACGGCACAAAGGTCTTTAAGCCTGAGATGTGAGCAGTGCTGCAGTGCATACATAATTTAAGGACCGAAATATTTGTTTTACTCAGGCCACAGATGACTATTAAGCTCAGATAAAGATGCCAAATGGATAGTGAATAAACTATATTCATTGAAAACCGTCTGAAACAATGTAAAATAAATACTGAAAAACATCAGTCTGAGGATCATGCCAAAGCTGTACCACTTGTTTCATGTTTGCATCAGAGTACAACAAAAAGGCAGTTTTGATTCGAAGTAGCCACATTTGTTCAGCTTTCCCTCATCCAAGAAGGCTTCATTCTGTACAGTCTGGAAGTCAAGGTGAAAAATGCACTCCTTGCTTCCCACACCATCACAGCACAAGAAGTTACTTGCCCAAAATGGAAACATACTGTGCTTGCTCCAGGCCTCCAGGAGACTCCTGTCCCTGCTCATCTCCCCTCCGTTAGTCAGCAGTCATTCATATGCCCTAATGATCTGAGAGAAAGAGTGCAAGATGATTCCTAGGAACTTCTCTCTACACAGGTAATAGAAAGAGCTCATTTAAAAACCTGTGTCTGTGGCATGAGCTGTCTAGCTTGCCTGAGTTTCAGTTATAGTGACAGAGTGGTTTGCACCACTGAACTTTGTGATTCAGAAGAAAACACAAGTGCAGAAGCCTTGCCAAGCAGAGGAATTAAGAGCACAGCCCCTTCCAAGCTGGGAGGACATTCACTTAGCACAGAGAATCTCTCAGCTGCTCGTGCAAACAGAGGACAAGCTGCCAGCTCAGCAGTGGGTCATAGACTTACTCCAGGCTGAATAATGCATGAAACCTAGAAACTCTAGGCTGAATGATGTATTTCCCCATGAAACCTAGAGCGAGGCTTCCCAGGCTGAGGTGCATCTATACTAACCCCAACCTTGCTCCAAGAAAAAAGCAAGAAAAGCTTTTCCCCAGAGGTGAAGCAGTCAGGTTCACCTGACACAGTCATGGGAGATACTGGCCTCACCTTGTTGCCAGAGGAGATGGAGTGGCCAAGGTAGTCATATCCCTCGACATGACCATGGGCTGGCTCAGTTCCCCAGGCTGTGTCCTTGCTGCTGCAACCTCCTCATTTGTGAGGGAGAGATGCTGCCCTTCAATGAAGGCCAGGCTTGGGCAGGGTCTCCTCAGCTCTGCCAGAGGACAGGCACAGGGAGGATGGTGGGTGGCGACTGCCAAGAGTGCCCTGACCACCAGCCAGCACCTCTGCGCTCCTCTCGTCCTTTTGGCAAGACAAGAGCAATGAAAACACAGTACCACATTGACTGTTGGGGAGTAACTGTGCAATAATCCGCTGCAGCTCACATTGCTGTCTAATTTATCAATGCACCAGCTAATTTACAAGCGGGAGATTGGCATTCCCTGTGCCCTGGGGATGAGCTATGAAAAGCAACTACTGCCATATGGCTCAGGCAAAGCACGAGGGATTATAATGACAAAACAGGGCCTCACACACTGGGGTTTCTTTACCACAGAGCTTTTTGGTTAACTGCCCTGTTCTCTCACCTTGCTGCCAGTTTTCAGTCACTGGGCAGCAGCCACGCATTAACCTGCTGGGAGCTGCCCTATATCCATGGGTAGGTCTCCAGCTCAGTGCTTGTTGAACAAGAAATTTAGTCTCCATTAACTAAAGGTCTGAATTTAAGGTGAATGTGTTAAACTGCATCAAATGCTGTTGGGGATACTCACATTCACAGATACTTTAGCCTTAATTAGGTTGATCTTAATTAACTTTCAAATCTAGGCCATTTTAGCTGTCCACGTAAGTTTAACACCATTCAGCCACTGGGAAACCGAATTCTGTTTTTTTCTTGGAGTACAAACAGACAACCAAGTTACAGCATACCACCTGAGTCACAGTAGTCGCTCATGCTCACACTGTAGCCCTTCACAAACATGACATCTGACATGTCAACACAAATATCTCTCCTTGAGGTTTAAATGAAGGTTTTGCCTCACAGCTGCAGCGGGACAGGGGCACCTGCAGCATTAGCTGAGCTCTTGGAAATAGGACAATTTGATCAAGCCTGTAGGATGAATAGAGAAGTGGCCCCAGTAAATGCGTACATGATGAAATGACATGTATGCTCTGTGGAAAGGACATACTTATCTCAGTCAAGCAAAGTCAGCTGGGGATCATTTTATCTACTTGAAACAAGCCTCTTTTCCATGAAGTGAGTGTCCACAAGGCATCCGGCTTTGGCTCACCTCCTTCCCCTGGGAAGGGGAACACGATCATGAAGGCTGCTTTGCAGCACCCCCACAGGCTCACACACGGGACCTCACACATTTATCACATAGAGACATTCTCAGCCTCAGCGTGACACTGGTTAAGTGCAGCTGTGGCAGCTTGTAATTGGTCTCACACATACACACTCAGGGGTGCCCCAAGCATTAGGGGAAAAGTCTTCATCATTTTCTCAGGCACACTGGTCCTGCCTGCAAGGATGGACATAGCCTCCCCGTCCTCTTGCTCCCACTGTACAGCCCAAGGGAGCAGTTTTAGCACAAACTTGCATGAAAAGGGCAGACCTGAAAAGCAGAGGCTTTGAGGCAATTATTCTCTAAACAATTCAGCTGTCCTTCTGCTGCTGCACCTGAAGTTGCTACAGAAAAAGCTTTGTTTTCCCTTTCATACAGCATTTTAAAGGATTTTTAACCCAGTGACCTTGTGCACTGCAGTGTCTGAAGTTAATGATAACACAGAAGAGACTTCAAGTGGCTTTGGCTCTTCAAGTGCAAGCAGGGATTGAAAAGCCTTCTGAAGAGACCTGACATGCCCACAGGAAACCCTCCAATGATCACTTCTCTCAGCATTTGCCGATGTCCCGGGCGCTTCCAGAAGCACGGAGCTTAGTGGGAGCCTTTCGCCAGCAGAGCCAGAGACAAGGTAGAGGACTGTGGCACAGCAGTAACAAGTGTGAGGCTCCTTGGGAAGGCCTCTGCTCATCCTCGCCAAAAGAAACAGCTGAGGATGAGCCTGCACCAACATGGCCAAAACCAGTTTGTTTGCTCAAAAACCATTGCAAACCATGAGCTGAAGAAGGTCGATAAAAAAAAAATCATCAAGGATGGTGAGGTTCAGCCTCATAGAAAGGACTGTGATGTACATCTTGCAGCCAGGCACAGCATGGGGACCTCCCAGCCTGCACCAAGGTGCAAATAAAGCTGGTGTAGCCCAGCTTGTGGCACACCACTGCCAGTGCAGAGCCCTTCGTAAGGGTGTCCTACCCGTGGTGGGAAAGTGCTTTGGCTGTAGGAAACCTTGGTTTTTCTGTGTTCCTCTTCAGCACAAAACTCTCACCATCAGTGTGATACATGGGTAGTTTCACTGAAGCAAAGGGGGTTGCTTGGCCCCCATAGATTTTGCTGAATTGCAGCCTGTGTTCATGCTATGCAGACCAGTGTTTCCAGGTAGAACAATCTCTGGGGAAAAACATACCCATGATCTCTTGTCCTAAATAATGGGCTCAGACACCATTATAGGAAGTGACCAGTAAAATTCTGTAACTGAAGCATTTTGGGCACCTCTCCATATGAGCACCAGCATAGCACAAGAGAAGATATCTTTGGGGCTTCCTCTGAGAGGACTGTGTTGGCTCCCCTAAATGATGGAAGCAGTTCAGGTGCTGGAAACAGCTTTAAATCTCTTTCACATGAAACCCCTGAACTACCTTGTATAACCTATAATTTTTTCCTTCTCACAAGAAGATTCATTGACCTGAAAGAAGGATTAGTAACTGAAAGACATCAGATTTAGGCTACCAGGCAGAAATCCTTACTAATCTTGGCTAATCTTATGCCTGCTTAAACTCTGCTTTCAAAAATTCCTGTTCAATCACAAAACAACCTATATTCAAAAGACAGACTGTTGTCATTAATTGCCTTTATCCCTCATCATCTCTCTCTCTCTCTGTCTCATCTGTCTTAAAGAAAAGCTTAACTCTCCAGTTAAAAGTTTTCCTTGGACTTAATGGTTCACAGAGGACAGGGAGTTGTAGCCTGCATGGGGATGGTGAGGGCTGCATTGCATTCCCAGGGAGAAGTTTGGTTCCATGCTCTGCCACAGACCTCGGGTCTCCCATTTGCTGATCCCCTGCGCTTTCTGTCTCCATGTCCCTTGTGTGTCCAGTGAGGGCATGCCGCCTCACCTGATGGATGCGGTAAGCAGAAATATTGCAGGGTGCAACAGCGTTAAAATAATAAAGTCCCAGACCCGGGAGTCCCAAAGTCCCATGGGACCCCTTCCAGGAGAAGAGGACAAAGCACACCTTGTATGGGCATGACAGAAAATTATTTCATGGCCTATTTCCCTGCCATCTGGCAAAACCAACCACTCAGCAGGGACCTCGCAGGACTGAGGCACCTTCTCCAAGAGGAAGACCTTCACTTGCTAAAATATATATAGCATGAGACCAGAGGCTGCACACCTTCCCCCTTGCCACCCTGCACCCTTGCAGCCGTCCCGCAGCGCTGCACAGGGTGCGTGCCAGGTGCCAGGGCCCCGCTCTGCCCACACACAAGGGCTGACCTCTGCCGTGGCAGGAGGCAGAGGCACGGCTGTGCTTTGCACTGCATCTCTCTAGCAGACGTGACCACACAGGCAATGGCACTAAATCCTCGTCTGACATCTCAGCCATTCTGGATGCCATTAGAGGCAATTTTCTGTCCAGCCGCCCATTTTAATGGAATGTGCAGTTAAAAAGACTCACCTTTTCAGCTTCACTCTACAGAGCCTTCACTCTCCAGTCACCACTGCTCCCATCCCTGGGAATTACAGTGCGCTCTGTGATTCTCTCTTGCAGGCAGACACTCAGAGAAGTAGCTCTTGCCAAGAAAAGTGTATAATCTAGAAAGCCACCTGCTCAGCTTTCATTCTCTGAACTCCCTACAATCAATTTGCCTTTCCCAGGAGAAAGTGCAACTGTTTTCAGTGCAGGAGGAAAGAGAGAATTCATGATGTGCTGTAAGAGCACAGCCAGTCCCAGGTAAAAGGACTGAAACCTGTTATGTGGGAGCAGCAGAGACACACTAGGATCTCTGATGCTGACCTTCCAAATTTCATGCCACTGTCCTTGTGCCTGCTTTGGTCTCTTAAAGATTATTTTCATGCTCCCATCAGGCCAGGTTGCAATGTTAATACCATACGAAAAGAAATGTGGCACTTCACCTTCCTGACAGGTCTCCATTTCCCCCCTGTGGCCAGAAATGTCGCTCGGCTACAGGGGATTCTGTTGGCTCATCATCCCATGGCAAGGCAACAGTCCACCTCAGGCCCCAATGCCTGAGGCTAGGAGCACAAAGCCTGTGGAGCTGAAAGCTGCCCCTTCTCCGCATCCTTTGATTTTTGCAGATGTGAGGGTTTAAACCATTTAACATCATAAAACTGTTCTTAGCAAACAAAGGCAGTCTCTGCCCCTTTGTCTTTAACCTGAATCCCCACAACTCTGCCATCATATTTCTTGTATTTTTTGGTTAAAGAATGCAAAAGATGAGCAAAGAGATACATCACTTGGCCTTGTACAAGTGTACACCTTGTGACAAGCTGTCACAGGTAGCTGTCCTTTATGCAGATAAAGGCTTGGCTTCTCTTCAAGGATTTCTACTACCATTTCTTGTAAGATATGGCATGAAGCAGGCACTGTTAGGGTAAAACTACTCCTCTCCTAAAGTGGGCAGCTAAAACAGGTGGTACAAAACGCTGCCTAAAAATACCTGTTTCAGCACTGACAATAGAGGGGGTTTATCTGCTCAGGAAGACCTGACTAGAGTGAGATGGCTGGCAGCCCCATGCACAGAGTTGGTGCTACAGGCAGTGGCCGGCACCACTGTCCCCAGGAGCCCACCCTGGTCTCCCCATCAGGCTGAGATGCTGCTAACTGTGTAGCTTCTCTGAGTGGAAACCCCTCTAGGGGAGCTCCCAGTGGTTGGAGGGCACCACACAGGGATGCACTGAGCCTCTTGCAGCACGGAGTTTCTCCAGGGTACAGCTCAGAGCACCATCTGTGTCCCGCCCGCCTTCTAGCAAAAGGCAGGTCTTACCACTACCGGCTCCCTTGGGTACTAGGGACACATGAGTTCTTTTTTCTTGCTGGATAGCTGGTATCTAGAGGCCTCAGCATGTAAGCCTACCCAATAAAAATTCCTCACCAGGCCTAAGGCTCTTTCCCATGTGCATCATTACTAAATACTGTTTAGTCAATTTTCACATCCAATTCACATAAATAATGGGAGAAATCAAAACTGGTGCCATTCTGTCTTCATTAATGCTGTTGTCTGACTCCACATCGGAGACTTGCATCTGTCCTTATTTGACGCCTGGTAGAAACATTTTTCCTGTGGACATTTGTGTTCATTTGATGTTAATTATGACCTTTAAGCATTAACAAAAAAAATCCCTTGGCAACAGCCTCTATGCACGAAGAGAGTGTGACAGACCATGGTGTCAGTTTTCGCATAACACATCTCCTCAAGACCTGGGAGGGACAATTCCAACTGAATCACAATTACAGGTTTATTGCAATCACCTTGCTAGGAAACAACAAGTTAGAATCAATAACAACAACAACAAAAAGTAATCCTCTTCTATGGAACTGACACACCCTTGCACAAGCAGAAGTATCATATCTGGTATTGTCATTCAATGGTATTAATTTTCTGCACACATTGTAGCTCTTCTTATACATCCTGCGATGGCAGAACACTGCTGAAATAAAAGTTCACAATGTTTTCAAAGCACTCAGTGGCAGGGGCCAAGAGGCCACAATGAGAAATGCAAGTATCAAATGCAAACAATTTAGATGCAAGTTGATGTGTGGTTTTCCGTATCTCAGCAAAGAGGTCAGCTGTGCCAATAGACTCACTGACAAGTAGCTCAAGGTAACACCTCCGTCCCAGCATGCTGTCTTGCAGATGGAGCAGAGCTCTCCCTGCTCCTGGAGGGCACTCCCTGCTCGGCCCTGCTGCGCTGCCCCAGGGACTGAGCTCTGCAGATGGCCTCAGCCCAGGGAAAAGCTTTCCTTTGCAAAATGGTCAATATGGCACATGTCTGAACCACCACAGAGAGCAGAGCATGGCAATGCTAGAAGTTTTCACAGCTCCCGACCCACAGATACACCTGGGTTTGCTGATGTCCCAGCCTGCTGGATTGCAGGTGGTCACTCACACACATCCTGCTTCCACTTGGACCCTAAATACTGTAGCAGGCTTTCCAGAAACACAGGATGAGCTTCTGCTTGCTGTAAGGAATATGTGCCTCACATCAAGTCCTAGCCAACCTCAAACACAGTTTGCGAACCTGAGCCAATCTCATGGAGCTGGTGTTTTGGGTTTACTCTCATGACAGCTCTTCAACTCTGCACTCAATCACCTCCAAAATGTTTTGGCTGATCTGACAAGAGGGTACCCTACCATGGCTTCAGCTGCCCATTGCTGTACACCTCTAACTGTTTCCTTGGCCAATACATCAAATACCTCAGAATAACTCTGCCTGCCACCCTCCCACTCAAGAGTTGGGACAATGTACCGCTTGCCTTGGTGAGGCAGGGAGCACCAGGAGGCTGGGATGGGCCTCAGCAGGAATCAATGGGCTGGTTTGCGTGGGTGCCCAGCTACTCACAGACAAGATTCAGGTGAAATGTAGTCACAGCGTTAGCAGGTAAAATTACAGTTTGGCTTTGGCGGGAGCTGAGCCTGCTCACACTGCAGTTGGTCTGAGCCTCCTAAATCCAGCCTCACCAGGTGGTCTCTTGAGTGAGCAGCCCCACAGCGAGTGCTGCCAGCCCAGGGCAGCCCCACACATCCCAGTGAAGGCTCCCTGAGGCCCTGGGCTGGGTGCCTGCTGGTCCCACACGAAAGCATTGCACAAATCATTTCCTTCTCACTGCTTGGACTCCAGAAAACCTAGAGACCACCGAGGAGCACAAAGCAAAGGAGCAAATCAGACATCTTCTGGCGCTGAGGGAAAGGCGGTGGCATGGCTCAGCTGTAGCTTAGTTGCCCTGGCTTTGGAAACACCTTGTGCAGGAAGGCTGCTGCAAACCAGCAGAGCACGGCTAAGCCAGGGCCCATGAATCCTGATGGCGAAGGCAGGAAGGACAGTATGTCAACACCAGCAAGTAATGGATTTGCCAATATCAATACATTCTTCAATACTTTGTTTCTGCCTCTCCAGGAGATTCAATTTCTTCATTTCTCACTTTGGGAGAACCCAGCTACAAAATGCAGCAGCAACTGATCCTTTAGCCTATTTGCTATGTGCAGGAGAGAGCAGCAGCACCGCTTGCCCTCTCCCCTGTGCATGGCACGCTAATGCTGCAACTGCAAAGCTGCGAATCTCCTGCTGTGCTTTGCTGCCAGTACCCTTCTCCATCCATCAGCATCATAAATAATCATAGCAGCTCCTGCTGTCTGCATCATAATTTGTATCTCGTTTCTAATTGTATTATGTGTAGCTGGTCCACCAGGCCCTATCTGAGGAAGCATACAAATAATTCATCTGTATTCCTCCATTCTCCCCATACGTGCTCCCTGACAAACCAGATTAATACCTGTCTTTATCTACTTCTAATCTGATCTCCATCCTCTATACCTAGTATCTTATTTAGATGAATTTTCAGCTGCCATCTGAAATTAATGCTTCACCTGGCATATTCAATCTCTTCCTGTATTCTAAACTCTTGATTAAATACACTTCAGAGACTGCGGATGAACTATAGGCATT